CGTCAAGTCGAAACCGGGTGATAGGCAAACTCATAGCAGCTATCAGAAAAATATTTAAAAAAAATTTATATATGTGTTTTGAAAATTATAGGTCTTTGAAAAAAATATAGAAATTTCACACCCTACGGCAGTCTGTCAACTCCTATTACTACAAATATTAACTTTCTTTGGATTGTATTTTTACAATGTAATGATGCATAATGTATCTTCAAACTGGTGTCTCAACCTAACTGCCAACTTTTCTCGTTCAGGAAAAATTGCCACTTATTTCCCAACCAAGTATTCCAAAGTAAAACTTTGCTCAACTTTAACTGGCTGTACTGGAAAAAATGTACTACGAGAGTTTGGCAAGTAACCTTAAAAGTTGGTGCATTTAATAAGGATTCCAATTTCCAAAACTGATGAAAATTTTTCTAAATTTCCTAATTAAACAGCGATTATGAAAACGCACAAGGACCCTTAAGGATAACTGTTTGCACAACAGTGGGCATCAAAATGCTGCTGATGATGATTTACCTTTACAGCAAATCCTCAAACTGTTTTCCTTCAGCCGCAATACACGCTCGACATCTTCTTGAAAAAGATCGGGTTATTAAACGAGCGAATCCACGGTTATTAACAAACTCAGCTGCTTCCAATAGTCTTTGCCGTAGGTCAGCTACATTTTGAATCGGCTTGAAATATACTTTTTCTTTTACAGTTCCCCAGTAAAAAAAATCTAACGGATTCAAATTTGGTGACCGGGCTGGCCACGGTATTGTACCAGACCGCCCTATCCATCTGCCTGGAAAGTTTTGATCGAGATACTTTCTCACTGAGAGTGCATAGTGCGCTGGGCAGAAATCATGCTGAAACCACATGTCCCTGTAAATACTCAGTAGCATATCCCTCCTCAAAATGTATGACAATTGGGCTAGTGGCCAAACTAGCAGAGTGACAAGATGGACGACATGACCCATTATAAAATACACAAACATCAGATTGCCTGAAATTTCAACATCTTGGTCGAAACCTCAGAAATCACCACGTGCAATTTTAATTACTGGCCAGTACGTCAGTATAAATTCGAGGAAGCACATTGCACTGAAACTGCTGCAACCGTTCTTACAAATCGTGCAAACGCCCTGTTAATGGTCGAAGACTTTCTAAACGTGCAGTAAATGGCGAAGCAGACACAAAGTGCACTTAATACAATTTCCTTGGCAATAATGACAATTTTCTCGTTCAATTACCAGCAAACTGTGCTGTTCGAACGTTTTTAAAGAAATTGATGGTTTTCGGTAGAGCGTTTTGCTGGACTAAGTAGAACATGGTAACAGTTTGAGGTATCAGTGTAACATATTTAAAGGCATGATATGGTTGCTTAGGTAAAATCCATTTTTGTCTGATGGTGAGCACTTTCTGCTAGGTCAAGTGACGAGTGATGCCATTTTGGAGTACATCAACTTGTTAACAAAAACGCTTTTTGACTACCAAAACGTCATGGGGTGAGCCCCCATTTAAAATATTTTTCGTTTTTAATGAAATTCATCGGCTAGCGAAGTCATCTTGTACCCACACACTTCGTTCAAGGACATACTAACGATAAAGCAATATTGCTGACACTTTTACACCCTGTATAAGTTACATATTCTACCATTAGGCCCAAAATTATTTTTGGAAAGATTGATTTTTCAGCTGGAAAAACGTATTCTTGTTTGACCTTGTGACTTATCCTATAAAGAGAAAATCGGTGCAGCTACTGCAGACTAAGCAGCCTCACAGGTAGTTGTTGCTAAATACTCATTATTTTCGAAAACACTTTTCGCACTGTACGGTCGAAACGACGCACAGGCAGGTATTTGATTTAAAAATCGGACAAAATTCGATATTGCAGAATAGCTCGATCGCAAAACTGGTATGAGTCTAAGATGCCGGAACAGATGCTAGAAAAAGCCCAAAACTTTTTTGTTTACCCACTCCGATTTCTCGCCAGCAGTCTCGATGCGGATTTGATCATTCTTCATTGCCCACGTATCTGTTCTTAGCGTATTTATTGAAACGACAATATTTGAAAGTTTTTACAAGTTATTTCGAATCCTGTACCAGTTTTTCAACATGGGCGTTTCTGAGGCAGGTATACTAAGTGACATATAAATCCGAACACCCAGTTTAAATGGTTTTATTTTAATAAAATTTTGTATAAGTACTTAATGAAGCATAATAAGTAAATGATAAAAATTTCAAAATGATTGCACTGCTTTAAAGCCCTTTGACCTTTAATAATGTGTGGATGCACCCTGATGTGCTACGCATTCTCCAACGCGCCTAGGCATGCTTCTGATCAGGTGGTCAATGTCCTCCTGTGGTATCTCATTCCAGGCAACCACCAACTCCTCTCGAAGTGCTTCTAGAGTCTGAGGAGGACGTTGCAAATTGAGCAATCTCCTACCCATCATATCCCACACGTGCTCAATTGGGGATAAGTCAGGAGATCTTGGTGGCCATGGTAACAATGTGACATCATTATGTTGAAAGAAGTCTATTGTGACTCTTGCAACATGTGGTCGGGCATTATCTTGTTGGAAAGTTGGATCTGCCAGGGTGTCAAGATAGGGTAAAAGATGGGGTTCTAGAATTTCGTGGATATAACGCTGCGCGTTCATGTTACCTCTGATGAAGATTAAAGGTGACCTGGAACCATAAGCTATAGCACCCCAAACCATAACTCCACCAGTGTGATGAACATGTCTTTCAACAAAAAACTGTGGATTCCTCCTTTCACCACATCGCCTTCTAACCCTGGCACGACCATCGTGCATGTCTAAACAATATCGAGACTCGTCACTAAAGACAATACTGTTCCCAGTGTGGCCGTTTGAAAACAAGCCAAAACCTCTCATTCGTCGGTAATCACTTCGCATGCCAATAGGTCTTCCGTGTTTTGCAAACCATTCATTTGCAATGGACCTGGTAGTGGAGAAACGGTCCCTTAAGGCCAATAATCTTAGGCGGCGATCTGCACGGTCTGTTGTTCTACGGCGGCGTCCAGTGCCCCTTGCTCTATGCGTACGGCCTTCTCGAAGCCATGCCTGATAACACCTAACCACAGTGTCTACACTTCTTTGCACTCTAACTGCAATTGCCCGAAAAGAAAGTCCAGCTTCCCGAAGTCCCACTATACGGCACCTATCAAACTCACCAAGTTGACGAAATCGTTCAGGTCTCCGTACTCTAGGCATCGTAACCGATCGTAAAGGATGTCAAGAACCAAAATCCGCCAACGTTCATTCTTTACTGCGGCTGAAATATTCATTTTTAGAGCGTTAGTGAATTAAAAACAAGCAGTATAAAAACCGGAATGTCCAACTGATAAGGCTGAAAATTTTTTCACTTGTTATTTACAGTAAGATAAATACATTCACCAACTTTTATTAAAATAAAACCATGTAAACTGGGTGTTCGGATTTATATGTCACTTAGTATATATCCGTGGCATCCAATGACGCCAACTCTTGACTAAATAGTGCTCCATGGACCCATTGAAAAAACTTTATTGCCTATAGAAATAATATCGGAAGCGGCCGCAGAGGCTAGCAATAAACACTTTCGGTTATACCGCCAATAATTATGCTCGGAAGTTAAGCAGAGAGTCTTGCAATCTTGATATCATAAATAGATTATTATTGAGCTCGGATCACCCGATAACACTGGCATGAGACCTACTCCCAGAAAAATTACAAAACCATTTCGGGGGTTAGATGGTAGAATAGATATATAATCTAAATCTCGCGTCCTGTAAGAATATTACAAATAAAAGGCGTTAATTATTATTATTATTATTACTATTATTTCTCAAGGAAACTGTTGAAATGCTCCTGCCTGCAGAACCGATGGGCCAGTCTAATTTGTCTGGTAAGAATGATGATGAAGAAGACTCCGCACCAGAGATGAGTCTTGGTTGTCATCTTCTTTATAACATTTCTATATTTTTTAAATAAATATTTTCACGTTTTTCAACTATAAGCATTTTATCTCTTTACCTGCTGTTCTTAGTAGCATTATCAACCATAACAGAGCTAATTACAGTTTTTGAAGTAACTTAAAATGAAAATAAAGTTTTGTCCGGATTTTTAATTCAAATACCCTTATGTGCAACGAACCTTTGCAAAAATTGTCAATGGACAAAATCAAATGTTTCAGAAAGCTGCCCCTTTCACTCTGTCTTCAACAGCCCTTCCCCACGTATCCCCCTATAACCCAGCCGTATTCACGCGTACTCAGGCTTCAGATCCCTGTATTGGCTCAAATATCAAAGAGATCTATATGCTGATAATACCAACATCATGCCAATACGGATTGCAGATGTTTCCATCTACAAAAATACATATTTTCAGTCATAACGTTGATTATTTCGTTTGATTGCGATAGAACTGAAAGCCTTAAAAAATAAATATCCCGGCTGCCGTGGACGTGGCATGCCTTCCATTAGCAGAATTACAAGCGGCGACCTTCGCAAACAAAACATTATTAAATATTGAAGCACTCGGTCGGCTAAATAAACACAAAGTGACCTCAGCATTTCTCATACGAGATAAAATGGGACAGAAAGGAAAACCGGCAACTGTATACAAGTGGTAGGGCAATAAACTGCGTTTATCTTTCCGACATGGATATTGTTTCTGGCTCGAGGCAATGAGGCACTTACGCGTAGAGGATTGCATTTGTCTACAATGTATGCACGGTATGGGAAATATAGAGAACAGTAGTACAGAATGGACTAAAGCTTATTATACAGTGCTTTTCTTTAATGTCCCCCTCCCCTTTGATTCTTTGAATGGATCAATTCAAAAAATGAAAACTTGAGGTAATGAAATTGTTGCGTGGATACCATATTTTAGAGTAAAATTGACAGATGAAAAGAATTAAATGATGTGGCACATCATTTTGAAGCTCCTGATGAGTATTCTAGAACCTTAGTATATCCTCCTGAGACCCAGACATGTTTTTCATAAGTTAGAGTTGTGACGTTTTTAAATATAACAGAAAATACATTAACAAACATTCTTTACTGAGGACATTTTTTATTTTTTTTTTCTTATTTTGAAAGATACATGACGTCCATTAAAATGGACATTGGGTCTTAACCTATACAAAAATGCCTAATGTATAAGTTATTTAGATGGTTAAAAATACATTTAAAATTAAAACTTAAACTTATAAGAACATAGAAAATAAACGTAAACTTAAATTTATCTGTTATGGAACTCTATAAAGCAGTTTCTGTAGCCAGTTATGCATAAGAATGTGTTACATCTATTACAAAAAAACTTCGTTTTTTTAGTACAACTGTCATTTTTACATCGAACCGAATTTCTTAAATCTGAGGCAATTTCTGAGTAATGTTCTTTCCGCTTTCTTTCGGTGCCTGCTGATGGTGAATCAACAATGATATTACCCTCAGGATTTCTTCGAGTTCCTATACCTCGTATATTTTCTTGGAAAATGTTGGATTCATTTTTCAAAAGGTACGTGGCAATTTCGATTTTAAAATCTAGATACTGCTGTATTTTTCGTGTAGAGGTTTGAAATATCTTTTTATCTCTTCGATAAAAAATCCATGAGTTTGCCAATGCTAAATCAAAGAAATGGAAAATGACTCTCACAGTCCATTTTTTTGATCTGGCTTGAATTCTGTAATAGCTGATCATTCGGTCTATCAGGTCAATTCCTCCCATACAATCGTTGTATTTGCAACTTGTATGTATTTAGAGTCTTTCTTAGACCACCGTTTACACTCATCACTAGGCTGAATTCCTAGACGAGTAGATGCCAAAAGTACAGATTTCAGGTCATACCACTGTACAACCACTATTTCGCCATCTTGCCTTACAATTTGTTCCGAGCTACCTCTACCTATCTTGGCCATCATTTTGTCTGAAGTTAAATGTGCTGCCGCTGGTACACGAGATTTCATAATCGTTCCAGTACAATATTTCTTTTGTTGACGAAGATATTCAAGAAGTGGTATTGTCGTAAAATATATATCGCAATACACATGGGTTCCAGGGAATAATGTTCTTCCAAGCCGAACACCAGCAGAAGGTCCAACACCAAGTCGTTTTACAGAATCATCTGGAAACGTATTTTTTCCTTGATATAGTTCAAAGTCTACGACAAGACCATCAGGAGCAGCAACAACAAAATTTTTCAATCCCTCTGGATTGGGTTTTCCCCTAACAAACTGCTTCATTTGACAAGTTCCAGTGAATGGTATCATCTGCTCATCCACAACAACTACTTTCTCTCTGGGTAGCTGCAAGCACCCCTGCAATACTGCTTCTAAAATAGGACGCACTTTCCAAAATTTGTCATACCTGCGTTTCTCCTCAGAGATGCTGCCATCAATTACGACTTTGAGGTTACTTCTTATAGAAAAAAAACCTATCTCGAGTCATAACATCCGCAATAGCTGCAACCCTCGTGGGTTTGGCCCAGTACATTCTGATTCTAGGATATTTTAGGCAGGACATTAAACAAATTATCCCAAAGAAATGTTTAATCTCATTAAGTGTCAATCTAAGGGATACTCCTTTAAGTTCAACATACCTTGCATCTGTGCAATCACATACTTTTTGGAACATGTCATCTTCTAAGTACATGGCAAAATACGATTTTGCAGTCCAACCATCGCGAAGCTGTCCGCTGCATTCACTAGACGGACCTTCAAAATTTGGAGGTGTAAAAGTATTATTCCTTCTCCAAAACTGTCGCTGCGAAGAATTGGGAGTTTGTTTGGCCGTTCTTAACTTTTCTCTAAGGACACTAAGAGGAATTCTGTCCTCTCCTTCCTCGTCACTGCTGCTCACCAGGTCTTCATCATTTATTTCGTCCTCTCTCTGTACTAAATTATCCATATTTTCAATTTCATTTTCATCATCAGACATTTCAACGTCAGAATCATCGTTTGCAATGAGTTGTAGTATTTGCTCCAATTTTTCGTCATCTTCCCCTGGCCGAAGCACTCGTTTATTGCCAAAAATTGCTAAAATAAATTTTCCGAATAAATCAAAAATATTCATGAGATAGACCCAATGTCCATTTAAATGGACGCAAATAATTTAGGCTAGTACAAAAGTTATTTAAAAATTTTTATTATTATAAAGCTGTTTAAATGTATCTATTAAACATTAACGAATATATATTTCCTCCTAAATCAGCACATAATGTTAAAAAATAGGTTACATACCATCTAAACGAGAATCACGTGCAGCCGCCATCACAACAGAAAACAAACTTACTGATTCACGGCGCAGGTGCGAGACTAAAGTCGGCCGAATCGGACTAGGCGGCAGCACGGAAGTGTTCAACGTAGTGGATGCGAGGTCTACGCTGCGTAAATATTAAATTAACGAAACTGGAAGTATAAAACTGCATGTCCATTTAAATGGACGCTGGGTCCCAGGAGGATATAAGGTCAATACCTTTACCTACTTCAAAATGGTGGTACATCTAATCATTACCTGAATATATTGTCATTTAACTTGATAATTCAAATAAATAGGTTGAGTTCAGTTTAAAAAATGCTGGAAATGGTTGCCTCGAACTTCACAATAACAGCCGGTCCGTAATTTCGCATAGAACATTTTCAAACATAGTAACATCGATATTTATACAAATATTTGTTATTCTCAGCCGTATATCCTGTATTGAAGCAAGTTCAGTTTGGTACACCTTTTAATTCAAATAGCCCCATAAAAAAAGTCTAAAGAAGTCAAATCTGGCGAGCGAGCTGGCCATTCCACAGGACCTCGACGGCCAATTCACCGACCGGGGAAATTGTTATCTAAATAATTCCTAACTTGTCTATAGTAGTGTGGTGGAGCACCATCTTGCTGGAATACAATATCAGTATCGAATTCGCTTCGACGATTTCGGTGATTAGAGGGTCAATGGTATTTTTCAGCATATCCAAATACAGTTCCATGGTTAAAGTTTGTTCGATGATTAGAGATCCCACAATATGTTTTCCCAATATCCCAGCCCAAACGTTAATTTTTGGTGGATATTGAGCATGAGTTTCCAGGAAGACGTGAGGATTGGTGTCACTCCAATAACGACAATGTTATCTATGCACATCACCGTTGAGAAAAGATGTACATTTATCACTAAAACAAACATTTTGGATATAGGTAGGACGCCGTGCAATGGCTTCCGTCATAGTCTCGCAGAATTCTGTTCTTCGATCAGGGTCATCTTCAGTTAGCTGATGTACCATTTGAATTTTGTATGGGTAAATACTTATTCTCTTTCAAAAGTCTCCATACAGTAAAAGGATAAACCTCATATATACTCAGTGACATATAAATCCGAACACCCAGTTTAAATGGTTTTATTTTAATAAAATTTTGTATAAGTACTTAATGAAGCATAATAAGTAAATGATAAAAATTTCAAAATGATTGCACTGCTTTAAAGCCCTTTGACCTTTAATAATGCGTGGATGCACCCTGATGTGCTACGCATTCTCCAACGCACCTAGGCATGCTTCTGATCAGGTGGTCAATGTCCTCCTGTGGTATCTCACTCCAGGCAACCACCAACTCCTCTCGAAGTGCTTCTAGAGTCTGAGGAGGACGTTGCAAATTGAGCAATCTCCTACCCATCATATCCCACACGTGCTCAATTGGGGATAAGTCGGTAGATCTTGGTGGCCATGGTAACAATGTGACATCATTATGTGGAAAGAAGTCTATTGTGACTCTTGCAATATGTGGTCGGGCATTATCTTGTTGGAAAGTTGGATCTACCAGGGTGTCAAGATAGGGTAAAAGATGGGGTTCTAGAACTTCGTGGATATAACGCTGCGCGTTCATGTTACCTCTGATGAAGATTAAAGGTGACCTGGAACCATAAGCTATAGCACCCCAAACCATAACTCCAACAGTGTGATGAACATGTCTTTCAACAAAAAACTGTGGATTCCTCCTTTCACCACGTCGCCTTCTAACCCTGGGACGACCATCGTGCATGCCTAAACCAAATCGAGACTCGTCACTAAAGACAATACTGTTCCATTCCTAATCCCAGAGTGACCGTTGTCTGCACCACTCAAGGCGATTACGTCGGTGTTCTCGAGTTAAAGGGAGAACCCAGTGCGACCGGTATGAAAACAAGCCAAAACTTCTCATTCGTCGGTAAACACTTCGCATGCCAATAGGTCTTCCGTGTTCTGCAAACCATTCATTTGCAATGGACCTGGTAGTGGAGAAACGGTCCCTTAAGGCCAATAATCTTAGGCGGCGATCTTCACGGTCTGTTGTTCTACGGCGGCGTCCAGTACCCCTTGCTCTTTGCGTACGGCCTTCTAGAAGCCATGCCTAACTACAGTGTCTACACTTCTTTGGTCTCTAACTGCAAATGCCCGAAAAGAAAGTCCAGCTTCCCGAAGTCCCACTATACGGCCCCTATCAAACTCACTAAGTTGACGAAATCGTAAAGGATGTCAAGAACCAAAATCCGCCAACGTTGATTATTTACTGCGGCTGAAATATTCATTTTTAGAGCGTCAGTGAATTAAAAAAAAAAGCAGTATAAAAACCGGAATGTCCAACTGATAAGGCTGACAATTTTTTCACTTGTTATTTACAGTAAGATAAATACATTCATCAACTTTTATTAAAATAAAACCATTTAAACTGGGTGTTCGGATTTATATGTCACTTAGTATACATTTGCGATGAAGGAAGTAGACTGTTGGGGATTTACTATGATCTCACCATTTATTTGAACTTGCTTTTCTTCCGGGATGGTCGGATGGCCTGGGGGCTTTTTGTTGTTTATATTTTAACTGTACAATGATGTTTGTTTTCGTACTGACATTCTTGTCGCTGTCAACAAAAAATAACAAAACAAGTTTTTATCGCTGTTGCTGTGGATACGGCAGGGAATTACAATTATTTTTAGAGATTTGCATGTTAGTGGGTTTGTGTTCATGTAATTATTGAATGTACCACCATTTTGTAGTAGGTAAAGGTATTGACTTTATATTCTAGGGTTATAAAGTACTTGTCAGGAGCTTCAAAATGGTGTGCCACAAAACCTCTGTTTTCATATATTTTTGTCAAGACGGCGCCCAGCGGCCATCTTGACATTTCATCTGTTAATTCAAGCTTTAATTTTTTGAATTTATCCGTTCAAAAAATCAAAGGGGAGGGGGACATTAAAGAAAAGCACTGGACCTTCTGACCTCGAACGTCACGGCATAACTAGCGACAAGCAATATGGTTTCTGGTACCAGCAATACTCAGTGAACCTCCTAGCTTACGTCACGCAACTGTGGTCGTGTTATTGCTCTTGATATCACAAAAGCGTTCGATCAGCTGTGGCATACTTTCTCTCTCTCTCTCTCTCTCTCTCTCTCTACCCTATCGCTTCCTAGAGAACTTTTGCAGATGGGTGACCGATCTTCCCTCTGGTCGCAAGATATCCGTCGGGTTCTCCTCTTCGTGCCACAACCTAAACGCGGATCTTCCTAATGATATCGAAATTATTCCTCTTACATATCAACGACTCCTGTTCCAGAACGATCAATCCAATCAACAGCTTTGCTGATGACAACACTCTACATGCAGGAATTTAGAATTACCGGCCTGTCTCTACCTGTAAGTTGAGGGAAAAAACTAGCAGAATTGAGTCTTGGCGGTTACCCCTGCTTAGGGATGCAAGAATCTTGTACAGCTGGATGATTGCCAAACACAGTATGGCACCTTGACGAACAATAAGAGCGGCCTGACGTTCATCCGGTTTCGATGGATGGCCGCGTACTACCAAAGATCCGTTCATTTCGGCTAGTCCAGATCACCGAGAACTTGATCTAACAGATCTCGTCATTGGTCGTACCTGCTGGAAAAAAGCTAGGAGCTTAGAGCTAAGAATTACTTTTCTCCACAGGACCGCCTCACTCTGAACAAGACACATATAAAAC